TTTGGGCTGGCGTGGAGGGGTTTGGCATCGCCGTGGGGGCAAGCACCGGCCGGGGCTGTGCCACGCACGCGGTCCGGCACCGAACGGGCAAAGCACGATGCTCTTTCCTTTTGCTGCCTCCCTGCCAGCTTAACCCCCTCCCAAAAGAGCCTCCGGTCCCCATCCGGAGGCACCAGCAATGGGTGCTCCGTCCTCGGGGCCTCCCAGGGCCGGCTGGGTTTTGTTGGGGTATTTATTTTATTTTTCATCGCAGCACCGCTGCAGAAATGGGAGGCCGGTGGGGAAGCGAGTCCTGCACGGCTCGGCACGGTGGGGTTTCGGGAGCTGGTGAGCGGCCCTGAGGATCTCCCGGGGTTTAAGCGGACGGTGGGCTTGGTCTGCAGTAAAAGAGCTTCATTCTGAATTCCTGCGATCTGTTTTGGAAGTGGTTTAGGTCAGTCTGGAATAAGAGCTGAGATCAGCTCTCCAGGTAGGTACCCCAAAACCCAGAGCCCCGTTGTGGCGGGGGCAATGTTTTCCAAGGCATGGCAGGCGTTTGGGATCTCATGGTGGGTTTTTTGATGGGATACAAGGCAATCCAGAGCTCAGCATCCTCTCAGTGACGGGACTGTGCCAAATCCCCCCAAACTCCCGTGGAAACTCCGATGTAGGTGCTTTCGACCACCCTGACAGTAAGCGTCGAAATCTGGAGTTAGGAGCCGAACTTCAGACTGGCCAATGCTGGATTTAAGTTTCAGGCAAGTTTTTGTTAAAAAAAAGCACCTTTAAAAATGCGAAACTTGGAAGTATCAGTATCTACACGTGCAAAATTTCTTCAGCGGGGAAGATTTATGATGTAAAAAGAAACAAATCAAACCGAGCAAGGCTTGTGGCACCTTTTTTGCTAATTGTTATTTGGATTTTTAAAATCCCCTGCAAATTCCCCTGCCTGAAACACAATCAAAGCAGTGTCCCTACTGTGAGGGATAAAGAAGGGAAAGGGGGGGGGGGGGGGGGGGGGAACACCCTGTAAGAGGCTGACCTGTTTTCAAATGCCTGCAAAAAGAGCAGGCATCACCCTGCTTGCACCTCTGTGTTTCGGGGCTGAGCCCAGCCGCGGCTCCCCGCCCCTGTGATGGTGGTGGGTCTCCTCCATCCGAGGGCCTTGCATCCAGGCAAGGTGTTGCTTGCAGACCCCGAGCATCTTTTTTTTTTTTTTTTTTTGCCTAAAATCCATGCCCCCGCCAGCTGCAGGCAGCCCTGCCTTGGTTCGGAGGTGCCGGGGTGCCTTCTGCCCGCAGCGGCCCCAGCCCTGCCCACGGCCGTGCTCAGGCTTCCCCCCTTTGCCGTGAGCCTGGCGAGGAATTTGGTTTCTGTCCCTGGCAGAGGCTCGTTGTTATTAATATCCCTCGTTATTTATTCTGCGGCGGCGGTGAATGGCTGTAACCGGAGAGCTGCGAACAACCGGCGCGCTGCGAACAACCGGAGCTGCTCTTTCTTGCTTTGGTCCCCGAAACTTTTGGCAATTCCTCGCTGGCCGAGCCCACGCCGGAGCCTCCCCAAGCCGGGTTCACCCGTGGGGTGACCACTTGGTCTTTAAAGCAAAATAGTGCTGTGGTGGTTCCCAAAAACTAAAGAGCGGCGGTGAGATGAACAACCGGAGCTGCTCTTTCTTGCTTTGGTCCCCGAAACTTTTGGCAATTCCTCGCTGGCCGAGCCCACGCCGGAGCCTCCCCAAGCCGGGTTCACCCGTGGGGTGACCACTTGGTCTTTAAAGCAAAATAGTGCTGTGGTGGTTCCCAAAAACTAAAGAGCGGCGGTGAGATGCTCCCAGCAGCCGGGAGCAACGCCCCGATGGGAAACTGGCACTCGACTGCATGCAATGGGGGGGAAAAAAATTGGGATTTGCTTGGTGTTCAGAGTGTGTTTGCCAGGATGGGAGGACCCAGGGGATTTCAGAAATAGCCTGGCAATGCATGGCAGTGAGATCTGCACCCGCGGGGAGGGGGCCGTGGGGCAGTGCCCCCCGCTTTAGGGGGCCGTGGGGCAGTGCCCCCTGCTTTAAATAGAAAGAAATCCGCGCGTGGGCGATGCCCATGCGGCAAGGTGAGGTGCAGAGCGGTGCGAGGCTGCTTGGATTCGAGCTGGGCCCAGGACTTCAGTCCGGGAAGATCATTTTCACTTTTGTTTTTGCAGTTTTTCCGAGTTAAAGCCTGCGGCCGGTGCGGATTTGGGAGCAGGACTGGCGAGGTTCGCCCAACCTGCAGTTCAGTTCTGCAGTGAGACCGGAAAGTGAAAATGGCTGGAAACAGGGGAAACAAGAAGCGATTTATTTTTTTCCCTCCATCGCGGCTGAGCCCGATGCAGGGCACGGAGGAGCAGCTTGCGCTGTGCCGGGGTTGGCGTCGCACCGAGCGGTGCTACCCCGCGTTATCCCGGTGAGCCAAACAAGCCGGGAAATCTGCTGGGACGCAGGCGGGGGATGTCCCTGGTCCGGGTGTTTGTGGGGCTGGCCATGGCGGGAGGGGATGGGGACTGGGCCTTTGTTTCCCCTCCCGGCTTTGTTTCCCGACGGCCCCATTGATGAAGCCCCATGTGGCCAAACAGCCCCGGACCCACCCCGAAACAGTCCTTTAAATTTGATTAAACAGCTTCTTCTTTCTCGCCCGCCGAGGCAGGGTGGATTTAACACTCAGCAGTGCAGTATTTTCCTGTAGCCCTGTTCCGGGGACAAATTCCTAAATCACCTGATAAATTATAGGCTTACTGCCGCTGCTTTTGAGAGCGCTGAGTTTGCAGGACACAGCGATGCCGGCACTGTGGGATGCATGTGCTGCAGATGTGGGGTGCACACATGAATTATTGAGTACCCCTACTTTTTTTTAGCCAATGTTTCAGGTCTGGGAGGAGACCTGATGGGGAAGTGGGTGCCCAGCGCTTGGGAAAAGCTGTGCCTCTGCAAGGTCCCCTGAAAAGGAGGTGCTTGAAATCATTCCCTGCTTCTTCAGCTCAGCAGGGCTCTGCGAAACTGCAGGCACTGATCGTCTGCCCCCGAAATGCAGCAGCCTCCGGGGGTACGTGGGGGACCGGAGGGTGGCCCCGAGGGGGGTGACATCTTGTCCCACGCTGTCCCACGTCCCGGCGACTGCCACCGAGCCCCGCAAAGCTGCGTTCGGGATTTGGGTGCCTAATTCCTGCTAATTTCCCTGGGAAAGGGGAAATTGGATCCTCTAAGGCAGCTCTGGAAAAAATCTCAGCCCAGGTTGTTGGGTAATTGGAAGGGCTACCCGACCAATTAAGAGCGTGGTGTGTTTGTCACCTCCAAAACAACAAGTTAATTAATCTGCATGGTTCTGGGCCTTGCAGAGACAGGTGTCATTACCCTCATTTTGCAGATGGGGAAACGTGTGGATCAGAGGTGGCGAGACTTGTTCGAGGCCAGGTGAAGAGCACGTTTCACCCGTGTTAGTGTCGGGTCCGGTGCTCAGGGCGCACCGTGTCCCTCTCAGATGCTTTTACTCAGCATTGCTGGTCGCTGGGATTTTTGTTTCACGCTGTGCCTGGAGCATCCCCGTGCACCGCTCCGGTCCCCGGCTGCGTCGCGGAGAGCGTTTGCTGAGGATCCTTCTTCTGCGCAAGCGGTTTTGCAAAATGCAAAACCACAGGCAGAACCTGGCTCGCTCTGAAGCCGGGTTTTCTCATTTCCAGCATCCTTGGGTTGATGGAGGCGGGGGAGCACATATTTGGCTCCTCTGTACGGAGGAGCCCCTCTCCCCACAGCCTCTCGGATGCTCTCGGTGTCTCCGGGGCGGGGACACATCTCAGCTGGCAAAACACAGCTCAGGTGCAGGAGGTGCCCGAGGCTGGGCAGGGGGACGGCGGCAAGGTCTGACACAGGTCTGGGCTTACTGCTTCAATCGTGTCCGTCCGTTTCCACCCATTTCTTCCCAAAGCTGCTCTTTCTCTGCAAGATAAGCGATGGCAGCACAAGCAAGAAGGCTCTGCAGACTGGTCCAAGATGATTAACCACCTTTGTTAATTCTTGCCCAGCACGATACAGTGAGCATCACATTCACCCTGCTCTGTGTTTCTGACTTTCTCAAGGCACCTAAGGGCTGAACTCCTCCCGGCTGCAGCTCCCATCCCAGGAGGACATCTCCAGCGTGGAGCATCCTGAGAGCACAGCCCTCGGGAAGGGCTTTCCTGAGATTCGCCATGTCCTGAAGAGTTCCCAGCAGGGAAGAATAAATACTCCTCCTTCCTCGAAGAAGCAGAAGGACTTGCCCAGGTCCATGTGGGAGAGGCGGCAGTGGAGCGGGGCACATGAGAGCCATCCTTCCTCCCATTGCTGTTACCTTGGAGCTTGCGTGCAAATCCCTGCTGAAATATTTATTACTGGCTGCAATCAATAATTAGCCCCCAGGAAAAGACATTTCTGGCAGCCGGCTCCTCCGCCTGCTTTCAGAGGGCGGTACGGGACCAAGATGTGTGGGTTGCTGAGCGCCTGCCCCCCATCCGCGGCCCGGGGGGGAAATGGGGTGGAAATGGGGGGACTGAGCGCCAGGGAGAAGGGCTGCTGTGGGTGTGCGTGGGTCTCTGTGGAGCCCAGCTTGGGGCAAAGTTGGAGGGGAAGGAAGGGAAAATAATGCCTTATGCCTGTCCCAACCCTCCAGTGTCGAGGGGCCCGGGCTGACGAAGAGCGTGGGTGCCCTTTGTGCCTGGAAATAAGTGGCCAAATCTGCCTGGACCAAGCCAAGCATGTCAGGTGCTGTCTTGTTTTGAAAGCTCTGCCGGGAAGTCACCCCTGGGACGGCTTGGCTGCCTGGGTGGAGAGTCACGAGGCGGGTCCCGGCGCTGCCGGGCATTCCCCTCTGCCTGCCCCTCCAGCTGCGCTGCCAGATGTGGCATTTTGTGTTTGCAACTGGGAGGCAATTGGGGCCGGATCCCCTGACTCCGGGAGATGGGGATTTAGAGGAGAGCTTGTCCGCTTGGCCACAGCGTGGGGCGACTCCAGCCATGCCAGAGGAACCAGAGATGAAGCCACGCCCATCCCCACAGCACAACGTCCCTGATGGGGGGGATAGAGGCTGGGGGCAGGCGTGGGCCCCCAACACCCTGATCAGCCGGAGTGACCACCGACCTGTCCCACACACACCATGTCTCATCCTTCCTCTTGTTCACAGTCCCTAAAAAACCTGGCTTCAGGGGTGCTGAACACCCTTGGGTGCTGAGCTGCTGCCTTCCACGCTGCAGGGCTTGGACTTCATCCCCGCCCTGATCCCAGAAGCCAGGTTTAATTCCCCCCCTCCTTTAAACAAAAATCAGGATGTGCTTTTAATCCCCTGCCAGCAAGAGCTGGGCTTGGAGGGCCTCAGTGCCCTCGTGCTGCCTGGGTCTGTGATATAGATAACCCCATATACAGAAATATATACTTAATCCCCTGCCAGCAAGAGCTGGGCTTGGAGGGCCTCAGTGCCCTCGTGCTGCCTGGGTCTGTGATATAGATAACCCCATATACAGAAATATATACATACCCCCCCTAATACACAGGTCCCAGAGAGCACTGGCTGAGCCGTGGCAGCCCACACGGCGCAGGGCGAGCAGGACGAGCCGGTGGGGCTGGGAAGCGGGCCCCGGCCC